ATGGAAGATTTTGAAGGAAGGAACCTTTGTCCTTCCAGTAAAAGGTGGAACTCTAATTGTTCAGATTTCACTTTTAATGAGAGCTTATCATTGGCTTATCTCATTCTTCTTGCTGGCATTTCTGTGTCACATCACCAGTCTTGGACTACCGCACTAACTGAAGGAAAATGTAACCTAATCGCTGTAAAAAACTGTTTTATTTTACTGATTTCTTTAAAGGAATAGAAAACAAAATTTCTATTATACATTTTATAACCAGAGAAATATTATAGCACTATCATTCCCAACAGCTTTGTGTCTCCTGTTTAACTAATGTCTGCCTACACAGGCCTCTGAATAAAGTTTGTTATAAACTGTGTATTTACAATAAAACAGAGCTCAATGTAAAATATAAGGGAGGATAAGGAGAATTTATGAAAGTAAAAATGTTAAATTCAGGAGAATGAGTTCTCCCAAATGACAGCTGTGGAGCTCCAGTTACAGCTGTAACAACTGGTGCATATCAAGTCTTGTAATTTTTTTCATTAATAGGAATTCCTGATCCGATGTTCCATTTTCTAGCTTCTGTACCTAAATTACATGGTTATCAGCAGTCATGCTGTCACTCATACTCCAAGAGTTTTCATAAGGAGAAAGGAGTTAAAGGATTTGCCTAAAATTAATAGTTAGATGGGAAAAGGAAAAAGTATCCAGTTATTTGAGCAGGTCTTCTCCTCCATTTCTGAGTTTTGCAGAATAATGTAACAGCAGAATGCTAGTCAGGTTCTCTTCACCAGGGAGGAGAAATAAGGGTGGGGGAGGGAAGAGAGAAAAAAAAAGCAGAGAGACGTAGCTGCAGAAAGGAAAGACAAAGAAAGAAGAAAACAATTTCCTTTCTTTTGCTTTTAGGCAGCTGTTTTGGATGATGTGCTAATCTTCGTCAGTCTTTGGAAACACTTTATGATCCTTGGTGGCTACTTGGAGCTATTGAGCGCAGATGATAGGTGACAGCAGAGGCAGGTGACATCTAAGAGGTAAGAGCTGACAGGTAACAGCTAACTCGTGACAAACAATTTTCCAAGGAGCTATGACTTACAAAATAGAGTTGCACTCCACTTTTGTACTAATGCATCATTTGACTTGTCTCCTAGCTGTGTTGGTAGAACTGCCTCTATGACACTGTTTCTAGTGCAGAAGCAGTAGTCTTCTGTAATTCATATGTGATCATTAAAAATTGAAATCTCCCTGTCACACAGGGTCAGGCAGGTCCTTTGTGTTCCTAAGGTGGAAAAACATTTCTGTAGAATGAAAATAATCTTTTTTCATGGAGACTTCCTGCTTGAAGCTCCTTTCTTGCTGTCATTAGGTAGGGATGAGCATACCTAGCAGCTAGAGCAAAAGCTTGTGAATCAGGCTCCTTGGGTCTAGTTCTTGCTCTGCTTCGAGTCGTGTCACTTGTGCTCCTCACAGAACTATGCTGTGATGCATAACTTGCTCAATTCCCTGATAGGGAAGCAGGAGGCTTTGATGAGGTCCTGGTGAGTGCTGACTGCGGTGAGATCCTCTGATAAAAGGATCTGTAGAAATTCACAGCTATACCAGTACAAAAATGAACTGTTTAGTAACAGAGTCTCACTGTGAGAGAAACAAAAATCCAGCACTATCTCTTTCTTTTTGAGTTTTCCAGGTCATGATTGTTCGCTTCTTTGCACTATTTTTAGAAGATGAACCTCCTTCGTTTCTGGTCTTGCCGGGAGATAAGGCAAACTTGCTTTGAGATAAGAAGTACTTAAGAAAACCCAAAGTAGCTGAACTCTTCCTGTGCACTTTAAAGGGTACTTCTTTACCAAAGATAACCAATCTGACACAGCCATATGGTAGGAAACTGTGTATGATCTTGAAACTATCCCTCCTATATACTCAATTTAGATGACAATTTCTTGACTCGGTTAATGGATTTCCTGCCTGTTGTTTCTCTCTTCAGGAAACACTAGCACTATGTAGATAAAAACAATCAAAGGCTTGATAAATTGAATTTGCTAAAATGTGTGCTTATGGCATTCATGAAACAAAAATGTCAGGGAGAATAGAGAAGTTTGGAGGCAGTTATCTGTGACCAAGGGATATGAATGAATGCAGAAGAGATCTAGTTGGGAACTGTGGAATCAAGGCTTAGAGAAAATGTTCAAAGGATGCCAGTGTCAGAATAGAACAAATTAAGGCTTTCAGGATTAGCTGGAAGATCAAGACTCTGCTGGAAATCTGGGAGGAGTGGTTACTGCAGTCTTGCTTTTCATCTCTCATTTTCTTGTTTTGGGGCTAGCAGCTTCATGATTTTTAATTTTTAGGTAGCTGGCTGCAAAAGGCTTGTATACAGTTTCCAGTTACCTCTTGGACAGACCTCAAATGCAATTAAACCATTTAAACACAGGCTTTAGCATAACTCCAACCTATGAGTTATCAGGTCTTCCCCTGGTGTAGCATATGCTCCTGAACACAGTAGATTATATCAGTAAAAGATTGGAGTTCATGTTGGTCAAGGAAGTACAGAGAAAACTTGTAGAAGGCACCCATGAATAATAATAGATCACTTCATTCTTTTATTGAGTGGTGTATATATCTTTTGGTGTAACATATCATCTTTTGGGGTTTAAGCCAATCTTTGTAGTTGACATCAGATCTATATTGCCACAGTTTTATGAAGGGCAAATGTGGATTGAGCCTATTTGCTTTCATTAATATTTAGGGCAATTCTGTAAATATAGAACTCTTCATATTGGGGATCAAGACAAAAGAAGGTGCCATATAAATATGTGTCCCATATATACATATGGGATGTGTAACTTTTTCTTAATTGTCTTACAAAGATATTTGTTTCAATGCAGGAAGTCTGTAACCTGAGCTTTTCCACTCTTGGCTTGGTGGCTTTAACCACAGCATACGGTTCTGACTCTGCTGAATGGAAAGTGCAGATTTTTGCTAAAATACTTCACCCCTAGAAACTACCAATATGGGAAGCAAATATTTGCAAAGGGGTTTCTTTTCCTTAAAGCAGTATATGAAGTCAAGAGTGTTTTCAGTAGAGGTGCTGAACTAGATAAAACACTTGCTACCTATGGAATTGTCTCTTTCCCCTTCATTTTCTCTTTATAGTCCCAGATCCCAGCACTTTGGGGAATAGCGTTTCAGCCCTGACAAATTTTTATTTATTTGTCACTCTAGCCCTTAATGCGTAAGGGAAAGAGAAAGAGAAAGAGGAGAGATGTCTGAAAATTATTTCCAAACTTTGCTCAGAGCTAGTCCTACTTCTTTCAAAGCTTTTTGGCCCATTCCACATTGTATCCTGATCCATACTTCAAAGAGTTTTAAAATTTCAAAAATTATAGCCTCTGTTTGTACATCGTCTTGAGTACCCTGCCCAATCAAGAATAACATCTGGAGCAGAGGAAGATGCTACATTAGTAAATAATATTTATTTTATTAAAATACCAGCCAGCATGGGCTGCATGGTATTTGTAAATACACTGGAACTCTTAGTTTGTACACCTAACAGTTTATAATTGAAGATCAAATACTTTCTATGCGGGGTCTAAAGTAAGTTGTCAAATCCATGTTTAGGGAGAATAAGATACCTGGTATTGCTGAAAAAAGCCAGAAATTTATTTAAGTACTTAGATTTAAACTTGGGATCTTAATTTCAGGCACCTATTAAATAAATGAACAACCCCAAACGAATCCCCCCAGAAAAGGTCTGGACTATGGAAAGCAAGTTTTATGGTGACAATCTCTACTGAAATATGTTCCACTAAATGGTCCAGAGTGGCAGAAGATGGTGGCACTGGCTGCACTGGCAAACAGTTGAGGAATCTGAGATGCAATTTAGAGACTAGATTAGAGTTAACTTAAAGTTGATGTAAAATGAACCCTGGTGTTCCTCCAGCATATCCATCCTGCTAGGGACTGGAAATACCAAATCCAAACAGGAGATGCTGATGCTGTAACTAAAGTATAAGGGCCAAGGCAAGTAAGAGTGGCACCAACCCAGTGTTTGGGACAGTAACGTATTTCCTTCAGACTGTCCCTTTTCATGCTGGAGAAATTTGTACATTCCAGATCATGGATTATGATAGTTTAGGTTTATCTCTATGTCTCTGGGCCCAGCTAATATAATGGGCTAACCTGGATCAGCTGCAGTGCAATATTTTATGTGTAATTTATAAAGTAATTTGATCAATAGGCTAAAGTAATTTATAAAATGAATTGAAAGGTGGCATGTGCAAGTAATGACTGCTATGAAAAGCTTTCAGTAAAAAAATAAACTATTTTGAAGATTTGATCTTAATAAGCACAAAAGCTCTGGACAATTTAGAATAATATTTTTAGCTAAAAAGTTCTTTATGATAAGGAGTAAATAAGTTTAACCTCTTTTACCCTTGTTGTGAAAATTATGTGGTATATGCTCCCAAAACATGAGAAATAAAATCAAGATGGGAATATTGATGGTTCAGTACTGGTTTGTATAGATCTTCAAATAGTACTTAGTGCTATGGGTTTCTTTCTAACTACCAAGGACAATGTGAAAACTTGTCAAAGTCATTTTTATAAAAAAGAATAAATTTGAAATTTCATTAATTAACTTTACTTTAAAGTGAAAGTAAGTGAAAGAATTTTTATTGATAAAGTCACATCCTCTTATTGGTTAACTATGAAGAAAAATAGCACAGCAAAATGTGGTGGCACATATACTGTTCTTCACTAAGGATTTAACAGTCAAATTGAGGAGAGCAAAAATATAAGGAAAAGAACTATGAAAGTCAAACTTCAGAATCTAGGCAAGATCTAGGAAATATGTAAGTGTAGAATTTTTGAATAATTTATAATGGCCTCTATTAACTGGGATTATAGTTGCTTTCTTTAAATTACAAAAGATAATTATGGAAAATTATGTCAGCAGTGACACATTCATAGGCAAAAGCTTAAAATATTAAATGGTCAGCAGGGTGAATGGGGCTTTCACTTACGCCTACTTTCATAAATAGCTCTTGATTTCTCATACAGCTCATATGGGTCAGGTTTTCGTGGATCAAAGGCCTCTGTTGAATCGGGAAATGAACTCCTGTGAAGAGTGGGTGGATAGGGAATATTCTGTGGCATAGCTGGAGCAGACAGACTTGTTTGAGGGCTGCCTTGATTCTCCCATCGTTCCATCATCTGGAATACAAACATACAGAGAACAAAGATGAAGTTTTGCAAAAACTGTGACTTCCACAATGAGACCAAAGACAGTAATTTCAGTTGAAGATGTGTTTTGTAAAAATAGCAAATCCGTTTGCTGCCTTTTGAGATGAAAGGTGTGTGTTGTGCTGTTTATAAAATGACTTGGTTAAATTTACTTGTTAATATGTTGCTTATGGGAAGATGTGATCTTTCTTAGATAATATGATCCCATGTGGATTAGGGTCCAGCATTACCCCTGAAGCATGTCAAGTGCCTCTCACAGAATGTGCTGAGGTATTGGAAGTTATTCTGCTAAAGATGGAATCTGTGGGTCTGTGAAGATACAATTATCAGATTCATGAAAATACATAACCAAAAGTAGCAATTAACAAAGAAGTGGCCAGACTGGGTAGCAACTGAATGATCTTAAGACTGTATCTTTTGAGAATGCATCAAAATAGCTAGCTGCCCAGGAAGAAGGAGATTACTGGAGCTGTAAGCAGAATTTACAGCTTCAATTGAAGAAAAAGAAAAAAAAACGCAAAGGGAAAATTATTATAGCAGGTATTTGAGCGTCTAGTGAGAGTCAAATATTTGATGACAAAATACAGAACATGGTGAGAGAAAAGTGGGCATTAGGCTGATAAGAGTATTTTTTAATTCTTACTGTTTCTTTCTTATATAAAAAATTACGCCAGCGTCATCCAACCAAATCCCAAGCACAGGATAAGCTTTTCAAGTCTTCCAGACCATTTACAGGAGACAGGTACACAGCAATGTATTATCTACACATGAAAGCCACCTCAATCCATCTTTTCTCCAAGACTGCCCTTAGTGGTCTCATAAGTACATCAAGCCAGAAGGGAGATAATATGATAGACTATGAAAAAGAAGACTTGGGGACCTGCATTTTTCTTTTTGAAGGAGTTGGCTACTAATTAAATTGCATTAGCAAATGTATTTGAAGAGGCCAAGTTAAACAAAACACAAATGTTTATCCTAGGAAATGAATATTTTCCTGTGATGACTCCTGAAGCAAAAGGTGGTAAAGCCTCCAGAACAGCGTGCTCTCCACATAACTCAACAATCAGTTAATTACACAAAAAATGACTCTTGGAAACAAATTGAACTGTAACTAAATGCCACCAACTTCTAGTGTTGTATCAGCAGTGCCTTATCAAAGATGATTGCAGGTTTACAGCAAGCTTGCTCTACAAATTCTGTGATTATCATTTGCCTTTGGTTCCTCAGTTTCAGAAGGTGTTTGGCTCAGCAGGTAGGCTTTGCTCTCTATTCTGATGACTAACAGCATCAGGCTTTTTCCACACCAAGGTTGTGTGGACTACAGATGTTTTAGAGTCCTCCTGGTGAACATGTTGAGTAACTATCTCTCTGCACATCCCAGGTGATGTGACACTTAGCTTCATACTTCAGAATAAACAGAATATGGATGTTGGCTATGAGGACCTCATTGTTTATACAGAGTAGTGTTATAATTCAAGTTGTGTCAGATTTTCAGCAGTAAATTGGGCTGGTTCATTAGAAACAATGAAGAAAAGAAAGATCTAAGTATCTCAGTCATCTCAGGTATCATAAGATGACCCTCATGCACTAGTATGCATCGGGTATGATATTTAAGTTGAGAAAGGAAAGTGTTAGTGCTGTGAAGTGCTAATGATGAAGATATGGAATACTGTATTCAATATTCACTAATGTTGTTCAAGAAAGACACATTTATTTTGGGTCAGATAAAAAGACGACAACTAGGATGTGATATAAGAGGGCACTATAGGTATGTAGATCCTGTGCAATACAGTGACGTATGGAGATACCCAAGTTGTCACTGAAATAGCTTAGGTAGAGGAAAGTACCTAGGGTACCTTTAGGTATCCTTTATACCAAGATAGATTTATCCTCTGTGTTGGGTACGTTAGCCTATGTAGCAAGTCACATGAATGTCAGAATAATACTTCTGATGATAGCTCTTCTGGCTCTAAAGGAATTACCTTGGGTATATATAAACACATATACAGTATATCATTATATCATGGAAGAGTACATTCAAAGGTCTCCAGAAACAAACCTGATTATGACCCCTATGTCTAGATAGGAAAGGAGAACTGGGCTAGATACAAGTTCCTTATGATCAAGGAAAATAATGGAGAATTATGTTTAGGTTTTACCTTCAGTGGGGAATCTAAAAATGAATACAAGTCAGTGAAACCAAACTATCTATCTTGTCACTATGAATCAGAAAGACATGTGGGGCCCTGTCTATCTAGAAGGGAAAGTTTCCTAATTTCTTGGACAGTGCCAGAGAAATAGAACACTTACCTCTTTCAAAATGTGAAACTGAATAAAATCAAAATGTTTAAAGAAGGCTTTAAAAAGAGAAAGGAAAATATAATTATCTTTGATGAGCAAACTTCTCCCCGGAGGAAGGACAAGAAACTGGAGATCAGTTGGCAAAACCCTACTGGGTCCCATATGTCTAATTCTTGCTTGCTGGTTAGCTCTAAATCTTCATGTGTGAAGTTAAAAACAGAGCAAAACATTCTCACTTGTGGGTAATACTGCTAACATAAACAGTTACATAAACAGACAAACACAAGGGGAATTTTATCTCCCAAACCCATATCAATTAGCTAAAGTCACATAGTGTTTTGCAATGTGAGTTACCATAATGCTAGCTCACAGAAGGCGGCACTCCTGGAAATGAGTAAGCATGGTATTGCGTTCAGGGTGTCAAATCTGAGTCACAGGGCAATGGTTTGGTGACATTGCTCAAGTTCATTTTGCACTACTCAAATTGTATGACATATGATATATATAATATATGCACTATATACATAGAAACCACAGGAAATTTCCATCAGCCCAGGTTACTCTGGGAAGTTGAGCACACTGACATGCAGTGCACGCCACCCCTGAGCCTCTGCCTTGGGGACAGGAGCTTGTCTCCTCTCCTCTTCCAGCCAATGGCCCGTGGTCCCTTTTTTGCTTTAAAAAATGGTGGGTGCTTCTCCCCTGAGCAGCCAGAGAGGTGAGGGGGCAGCAGTAGTCACCCAAGCAGAAAAGAATCCTGGTTTGGGGCCATCTACAGTTTTTCTTTCCTCTTACAGACCCACAGGGCTGTGCTGTGGTGGTGGGAAGGTTTCTAAACCTCTTGGAGCTGGCCTTATTGCTTCAGACTGTCTGCAGGCGCTCAGTGCTTCAGGTGCACTTGCTTGCAGTCTTATCTCCATGTCTTGGGCACTAGAAATTTATGTCTGGTTATTTCTCTAGTTAAAGTGGTGACAGACAGAGGAATGCACACTACCTTAACCTGGTTAATTATTTGTAAACTCTCTTGCTGAGAGTACCCCAAAATCAATTAGCTGTGAACAGTTAGCCTGCATGCAGTTACAGTAACTGCACACATTGGTGTTGCATTATTCTGTGAGCCCTGGTTTCCACAGACCATTGCATGAAAAACTGCATCACTCAGGTTGTTTCTCTAGATTCTGATTATTCACAAGTGCTACTTGAGTATGAACTAGTATACAGTTTATATAACAAAACTGTGCAGACAATCATCAACAATATGCTGATATTTATAGATTTGAAATGTACGTAAAGAGGGTAAGCACTGACAGTGGAAGGTCTTTGATTGTGGCTCTTTAATAAGTAAGTTCTAAAAGTTCTCTATTTCATCACTTTTTATCTGAGATTAAAAGTTGAACGTCCCAGTCAGACAAGAATCTTAAACTGGTGAGAACAAGCTAGCCCTTAATAGTCAGATTTATTTTCACAAATGTCCTGCTACTTAGATGAATAAACAAATGTATGCAATATTTATTCCAATGTATTGCATCCATCCTCTAGCCTTTTACATCAAAAACACCACAAGCTGAAGCAGTCTGATGGAGTTGCATCAGCTGATTAATTAATTGCTATTTGTACTTGACAGGCTACAAAAATTATTTTGCTATGCATTAAACAAGTCATGACCCAATATGAGAGGATGTGAAGTCATGTCGTCGCCCCCCACCCCTCCAAATAAGAAAGCTATAAATCCTTAAAAAAAATATTACTGTTGTTATTCCTACTGCTCTTAGAAGCCTTCAGGCAGAGTCAGGGCTCTTTTTTCCTTTACACACCTCTGATGAAAGATAAGCAGTACTTTAAGGTCTTTACAATCTAAATGAAAAAGTCAAATTAAAAAAAAAACCAAACAAACCAGACAACCAAAAATAGAAGCCTGTTTTCTTTTTACAATGTGAGCGTTGTCACAACTTCAAAAAATGATATAATGTGGTGTCAACAGAATAAAAGCAGTCATTGCTTACAGTCCTACAGTAGGAAAGGTCTTGATACCTTGGGGTTTAATGTCAAAATAATAGAAACACAGAAATGTTGGTTAGAAGGCACATCAGTAAGCTATCTAGTCCAAGCTCTCACTTGATGTGTGACTATTTCCAGCTCTAGATCTACTAATGCAAGAAAGAATAACAATCACTTTAAGGATGTTAAGCTTATGCCACTTGTAAACCAGAAAATGCACATGTTGTCCATTTCAAGCTGATCGCCAACTAGAAGGCCAACTAGACTGGCCTCATTGCTGGAGCCTTCTGCTGCCTTCTCCTCCAGACCCCTCATTTTTGAGCCACTGCATTTCTGGTTCTTGACACCCATCTTAACACTGAGATGTTCCTTTCTCCAGACTGCTGCTGGCAGACTCCAAGTCAACAGATCTGCAGAGCTTATTAGTGAGGCCACCTCTGATGCTGTCTCACCTAGAGTTGGGGCACTGCTGAGAAGTGTCTCATGAGCTGGGAACAGGAGGGTTAGATGAAAGTCTACAGAAATTTGCTTTGAATGGTAGTCATCTTATGAACTCAATGTGTATAATTTTGAAAGGGAACTTACAGGCTTTGGAGTTTTCCATGGAGAAAAGAAACCTGAAATAAACAAAAAAAAACGTTAGCAGATTTTTCTGATGCATAAAAAGTGGAGGCTAAGTGGCATCTATGCTCCTGTTCTCATTCAGGTCTGCAGATAATATTGATATATATGAAAATTCTCTACACACAAGGGGTGAAAACAGAAACCACAGGGGATAATTTCTAAGAAAAAATATATGCAAATATATATATATATGCATATATATATATGCGCAAGTGGAGCTATTGAGATCATTGCCATACTTTACAAACAGCATGGTATTAGGTTGAAATTAAAAGAACTAAACAAAAGGACTTCCAAATGTCTTGGTGGACATTGGATAAGACACCAAATGACCTGGTATTGATGTGTCAAATGCAGTCGCACCTTTAAGAAGAAGCAATTCAGAACATCCCATGAACAAAACCTAATAATACAAGAGATTTTTTTAGAAGAAAAGCCTGTACAAAAATAACTCTTTAGTCTAGATAAGGTAGCCAAGCCTTGGGAAAGTTGCTTGTTTTGATACTGTCCTGGTTTTTTGTCATAGTTAGCAAGTGATCAGACATGACTACCTCTTCTACACAACTAGTTATCTCCTTTTCCTTGGTTATTGACTGACTGCTAAATTGCTTTAGTGACGTTCATGAATTTCAACTATTGTAGCCTACAAATGTTTGAAACTCCAGATATGTCCTTTTCATAAAAGGAGATAATTTGTTAACACTCATTATAGACACTGTTCTTATCTTATGCAGCACAATGTTAAAAAACTTACAATATATTTAATAAAAAAAAGCATTTCAAAGGATATTGGGTCACATTTTTTAAAATACCAGCTTTCAGCATAGCTTTAATTAAAAAACTCATTCTCAGTTTAATAGCAGGTAAAAAAAAAAAAAAAGTCTGTGGACCTTCCTAAGATTAAAAGCTAATAACAAAGAGTTCATTTGTTTTGTCAGAAACAGAAATGGGACTTAAACTGAGACATCTAATAGGAAGACTGCTCTTTCATTCAAAAAATGAATTAAGCTGTAAGAGTAGTACTGACTTCATTATTTCTTTTTCGAGGTGAATCTAGAAAAAAAATTTAAATCATGAGAATACCAGGCAAAGTATGGGAAAGTATCTTTCTACAGACAAATCACAACAGGAATTATATTTGTACATAGTATTTTAGATTCCTAGAATTCTATGATAATGAGGTAACTTTTTCTGCCATGATATCTAATCTTGGAGTGAAAAAGCACTTGAGCCGTTTGCAGAGAAACACTGGCTGTTTTGTAATGCTGATGTATAAACTGGTAGTGCTTTTAAACAAAAAGTATATTGGGAAAAGTAATCGTGGAAAGGTTTATGTTTACTGGCTCTACAGTGTCTAGAAAAAAACTGCTATATTAACAAGTAGACAGATTTCTTTCCATCTGCAAATTCAAGCTGAGATAACAGGCATCCTGTATAGAACTGGCTTGTACATCACCTTCAGTGTTAAAGATTCTGTAGTAGAAGCTTACTTAATAACTTCTTGGATGGCTGATGGCTACCTTTTTATTACCTGCTATTGTTCTGTACAGCTAATAAGAGTGAAAGTTAAAAAGCATTTTTCCCCTCGGCATTAAAGATAAGACTTGAAACTTGCAAGAAGGTTTGCTGAAAGGTATCTCAAATCAGCTTACTACCCTGATTTTGGTGTTTAGAAATTATTGGTAGAAGTAACTCTCCCTCCCAATGGTACTGGTGCACCTCCCATAACTTATTGTCAGCAGAAATTACTCTAGGACAAACTGAAAGGTCATTTTTTTCCTATTTATTTACTGTCACCACCTAAAAATATGTTTTGCTGGAGTTAATCAGAAAATGTTCCTATCAATTAAAATATAAGTATTTATAAATCAAATAAATAATGGCATATACATCAAGTGAAGATTTTTTTTAAAAAAACCTCAATTAAAATTTCAATTATTCATCCAAAAGAAGAGAACATGGACTTATATTTAGCTTGGAGGCTATGGGTACAGACTGCAACATACAAATGACAACAGCTACACTCAAAACAAGTAAAAGGCAAAAACTAACGGATACAGGATGCCACAGAAGTAAAAGATCCAAAGCAGGATTTTTAAAAAGTATTGGATATCCATATGTGTACAAAACCACGTTAGAAGTGGAAAATCTCTTGAAACTAATATTAAAATCCATTCTTCAGATTTAAATTCAGCTATTAGACCAAGAACTCATGTAAGATGAGATGGTGTCTCACCTACGTCAAAGACTAGGTGCTAGACTAAATAGGTGAAGGCCTATTCCGTAAACCAAACCCTATCTTATATCTTTCATGTATTTCATGACAATTTTAATGTTGCCTCACATAGCATCTGTATGCTCAGTCGAACTAAACATCATTTTTCCCAATCTAGACAAAATTGACCTTTAGACAATGTATGACATTATCAGTTATTCAACATGAGACTGATTACGGATAATTATTGTGAACCAAACATGTCCAGAATTATCACTGATATTTAAATACATGCAACCATTGCTGCAAATTCAAGAATTCAAGAGTATAATGCATATGTAGTACATTGTAAGTATAACAGAAACTTCACATGAAAAAGCATATAAACAAAATGCACTTTCCTGTGTATTCTGCATGTTCTCTTCTAACTTTCACCTTTAAATATTGTCCTGCATAAGTACAGGACCAAATCCTCTACATTTAGAAAATTGAGGTTTGGAAGCTCACCTGAAGCATATATCTTAATAATATGTGTTTAGTGCGTACTCAACAGCGTTGGCCTTCTGCAGCCACATCTACAGCTGGCAATGAGAAGCAGCGGACTTTCACTTAGTTTGACATCACTTCACAACACCACATTTTCCCTTGACTTTCTGGTGCTGGTGCATTACATGCTGTGAGTATTCCCCACCAGAGACATTGGGGTCCCACTTGAATGACAGCTGCTGGCAGACTGGCATCAATTCAGTACTGACTTGGAGGCAAGACTGAAATTTGTTCTCCAGAGTGCAGCTTTCAACTTCTGCTGAGTATTAATACAGTACTGACACTGTTCAACCTTCTAATCAACTCACATCTAACTAGGCACACATATTGGATAAGCTCTTATAACCTCCTCATCCCACTTCCAGATTCCCACTTCTCCCTCCCCAAACTCCCAATCCCCTACTGTCCAACTTGTGATGTCTTCTATAAAAACCTGAGTAGCTGAGAATACTATATACATATAAACACCCCTCAGCCCCATATTCACATATACTTTTAAAATTTGAAATAATAAAAGCCAACTTAGATCCACCTAAAAATACTTCATGCAGCCTGTTCTTCCCAGAAGTGGCTTTGCGCTCACCCATGTGCCTGACAGCCATCCCTTCTTGTAATAGCTTCACCATATAAGCTGTGGCTCACTTTGTGAAGACTTCCATATTTTTCTCTTAGTTTTAAATAAGTCTTTATTAGCGCTCCTTGTAAAGGCAGCAGTACAGGTCTGAATTAGTTTTGGAAAGGAGAGTGGGGTTACTGAATTGTGTCAAAGAGCAACCACCACTGCTCAGCCAGATGCTAGTGGGACAACACTATGGTCACCACCTAGTGTAATGTAATATAACATGTAAGCATGTGAGGATAAAGTACATAACCTCATATACTTCTCCAAAGTTAGTTTTGAGAATATAATGATTTATTTTTCAATGTTGGCCATTTAAAATGTAATATGGTACAGCAGCTGGTGGCCAACACCTTTATTGAAATTTTAATTGTTTCATTTTAAATAAATAAGCTGAGGTACAGTAACAACCATATGCTTTTTAAAAATCAGAGTTACATTTTCTCATAAAGCAGTATTGGAAAAATTATTTTTGACAGTGCTTTTAAAATTATTTTTACCACCTTCCAAATGAGCTTCCCTGGAAATCAGAGCTGTGATAGTTTCCATGTTGTAACTTTACCAAAAACCACCAGTAACAGAAAACATATTTTAGATTCTAGTGTATTTTGGGGAAAAAAAAATTTTTTTTCTTTTTTCAGATCAAGGCAAATTCCAGCTTCAGTTTACTGTACTTGTCCTTTTCGATGAAGATATCCTTTAACAAAAGACAAACCACATCACACTCATAGTATCTGCTTTTGTCATAAAATATGCTTACAGATTTCACATCCCTTACACTTCAGCCAGTACTTATTGCTGGAAAGTTTAGTTTTCTAAAAGAAGCTTATCAGACAGGACTTAGAGCATTTGCAAGATAGAGTCTTGATCTGTTTGTTTGGGATTTTTTTTGGCCTCCCCCCCCCCCCCCCCGTAAAAATCCTGATTTTGACATATTCTGTAATGTCAGTAATACAAAACCAGCCTTTGGTTATTAGTCTGCTGCCATGTGGATGCTTTTTGCTATATTTCCATCTCTGTATTGTATTGATTTCTGGAAAACTTCTTAAGACCATGTAAAATCACAGGTAACTAATCCAGGTATTGCTAAACCACAGGACCTTTAATGGTGTTCACCTCTGTGGCAGATGTGTATGTATAATTAAACTGAAGCCCGGGAACAGTTTGATTTTTGCAGTGACAGCATGTGGTAGTGCTGCAGGGAGGAATTCAACAGCATCAAAGATAAAGCCTTTTAATCCAAAGCAATGTTCAGGGCAAGTCAACTTCCCTCCACATCACTTGTCACACTGATGGTACAGCACATGTTTTGCCCATTAGCTTTCACTGGGCTTCTTGGGGTTTTTTTGTGCTACAAAAGTCTTGTTGCATATGGCTTCCTGAGCAAAGCTGTCCCAAGCACTGCACAGACCTTTCTCACGTAGATGCTTGGAAGTCATTGAACAGATGGCTGATGAGCACTTCCAGAGCATTGACTGACTCCATGGGCATCTTGTCAATGTCCACATGACAACACTTCACTTCAGCAAAAGTTTTCCTTTCTAGAAAAGTTACTGTATAAATTTACTGTGACAGCATTTTTTTTTTTTTCTGTGCTTTTTCTTTCTCTTACT